TGCCAACCTTGTGAAGACTTACAGAAAACATTTGACCTCTGTCATTGCCAACAAAGGATGTTGATGTTGATTTTATTTATATGCCACCCTTTTCCCCCGAAGGGGACTCAGGGCGGCTCAAAACTCGACTAGGGAAGGGGGAATACAGACAAGAATGTAAACGACATAACAAAACAATGTATGATTAAAACACAACAGTCATACCAATTCGAGACGGGGGCAACAGTTCTTTAGCCCCAGGCCTGTCGGAACAGCAAGGTTTTAAGGGATATATAACAAAGTATTGAGATGAACTTTTGATATTGACCAAATACTTATTTTCCACCAGAATTTGCAAAAAAATTCTTCCCAAATCAGACAATGTGATTGTCTGGATTTGTTTTCTCGTTTTGTCTCTCATAGTTGAGGTCTGCCTATGATGTCAATTACAGGCCTCTCTCGTCTTTTTAAGTGGGAGAACTTGCACAACTGGTGGCTGACTAAATACTTTTTTGCCCCACTGTAGATCAAAACTTGCAAAACGTGGGGTTTGGTCTTAGAATAGGCTAGCTCAAACCAGCTGTTGCAGTCATGGAATGTTTCAAGCCTTGAACATTTGCATATTACTATTAATAAATCATTTGCTGATAATTGGATAACCATTCTCTTTTTTCTTGCTTTAAAAAATTTAATTGCAATTACCTGGTCTTGCGTGAAGTCTCCAATCAGTTTGACCTGAATGTTAGAATTGCAAGAAATGCAACAAAGGATCTTGGAACTTTCAAAAGCCAGTTCAGGATTGGTATTACTATGATAAAGGTACCTTTAAAATATAACATTGTAGAAGAGAATGTCAGAGAAGTCCTATACTTATATTTTTTACAATGTACCTGGCATACATAGGTATATCTTTATTCAAATCATTATCCTATACTTGTGAGGAAAAGCAGCTTACATTTTATCTCTTAATTCAATTGTTTCTTAAATCCCAATTTCTTCAGGCCACATGCCCAGACTATAACATCAAATTAATTAAATTAAAATATATTATTCACAATACAAATAGAAATTGTTCAGAAATGTTCTTGAGAAATATACAAGTTATCCTATAAATTAAGGTAGACTAATAGAAGGGACAGTATTCTATTTCAATGAGGTCAGCTATTAATGGAATTTTTGTAAACACTTATGTTATAGGAATGTCTGGAAAAGGTATCATATGCTCTGAGTAAAAACACAGCATTTCTAAAGGCACAGCAGCCTTTCTAACTTTTTGGGACTTACCTGGCAATATTTACTACATGATCAGCTTTTTTAGTCCGAGGGTTGATTCCTTGCAGCAGCTGTTCTAGTGAGGTAACAATGAGAGAGAGATGGCTTTCTCTTAAGAAGTCCATGAAAAGGTTCTCTTTCTGTAAAGTTAGATTGAGCAGCCCAAGACAATACTGTACAGCCTTCTCCAAATGCTTTTTTCCTAAAGAAGAAAACAAATCAAACGAATAGATCACACATTCATGATTCCCCCAGAGTGGGGTAATGAAGAATAATTCACAGTGAGTTTACACAAGTACATTGATGGAGGCAACAGAAACAAACAATCCTTCAAGAACTGCCAGTTTTAAGTCATCAGGTTCCCCTCACCCAACAGTCTACATTGGAGTCATATAGATATTTTGATATCTTAATTAAAAATAAACTTGCAACTTACCAGGGAAAGGTGCATAGGTATCTAGTTGTTTAACTCCTTCTTCCAACAAGCTAAGACACAATTCCAACATTGGTGATTCATTCAACAGATGATACATCAGGTTAAACCCAGGTGGTTTATAAGCTATTACTTCCTCTCCTGGAAAATGAAATGTACATTTGCGTTTTATTTCTGAGATTGCAATTTACCAGAATAAATGTAAACCTAATCAGTGTCATTTTCATTTTCTCCTTCTCTTTTTTCCATGAAAACTACCGTATTTTTCAGCGTATAAGACGCACCAGAGTATAAGATGCACCAAGGTTTTGAAGAGGCAATTTTTTTTTAAAAAAAGTAGGTAGGTAGGTAGAGGGTAGACAGGGAGAGAAAGAGAGAGAAATACAGTAGGTAGCTAGGGAGAGGGAGTAGTTACATAGGTAGGTAGATAAAGGGAGAGAGAGAGTGAGAGAGAGAGAGAGAGAGATAGTGTAGGTAGGTAGGTAGAGGGATAGAGAGAGAAATAGAAAGAGAGAGAGAGAGAAATACAGTAGACAGGTAGGAGAGAGAGAGAGAGTAGGTAGGTTGGTAGGTAGAGGGATAGAGAGAGAGAAATAGAGATACAGAAATACAGTTGGTAGGGAGAGATAGTGTGTGTAAGAGTAGGTAGGTAGGTAGGTAGAGGGATAGAGAGAGAGAAATACAGTAGATAGGTAGGTGTTTTTGCTGGCACAGCACTTGATCAATGTAATTCTCATCAATCAGTTAAAGAGCTTTCCAAAAGGAAAAAAAAAGTTTTTGCACTCTGCAAACCTCCCAAAAATGGCCTATATTTTTGTGAAAACGGGCTCGTTTTTTTTAAAAAAAGGCATGAATAGCCTTGGGGGGACTTGCAGAGTGCTCCTGGGAGGGAGGCAAAAAGAAGCAAAAACTGGCCCATTTTTTGTCAAAAAAAATGCATGCATAGCCTTATGGAGGCTTTCAGAGAGCTCCTGGGGGCTGGGGAGGGGAGGAATGAGCAGAAAACGGCCCGGTTTTTGGGAGGGTTGCAGAGGGCAAAAAATTTTTGTTTTCCTTTTGGAAAGCTCTTTAACTGATTGATGAGAATTACATTGATCAAGTGCTGTGCCAGCAGAAACACCTACCTATCTACTGTATTTCTCTCTCTCTATCCCTCTACCTACCTACCTACCTACCCCCCTCTCTCTACCTACCTACTGTATTTCTCTCTATATTTCTCTCTCTCCCTAACTACTCTCTCTCTCTCCCTACCTATCTGTATTTTTTTCTTTCTATCTTTCTATCTTTCTATCTTTCTATCTTTC